AATTTCTGAAGTTCATCGCTGACAAGAAGTACAAAAATTGTCTGAACAAAATCCCTGATTGAGATGTCCAACGTGTCGTCGGTTATGGTTAAAAATCACAAGAAACCATCACTACGATATATATATAGTAGTGTTATAACACTCCTCCACCCACCAAAAACATCGGTCCAGATTTATGTCTAACAACTATAATCACTTTACTATCGAATCTCTTGACCGCTTTCTCTCCCACCACTGAACAAAAATCTCTGCCAGAAACCACAGTCAAAACCTTACTATCCATAATTCACCCCAAAATGACTAGGTTCAAAATCCTCTTTTGAACTCCATTGCTGGTATTACCCATAAACATAACAAAACACGTTTCCTTATATCCCATTTGAACATTCACATAATTCTACTAATGAAAACCCTTCCTTCCCACAAACTTCACATTCCAAATTTTTTGTATATACAAAAATGACCTGCCGTTTTACGTAGCTCACTTGAGTACGGGTTCACTACTGTCCTTATTCAATGACGCATCATATACTAACCAGTAACTCTAAAAAAAAAATCACATTCAATCTTCATTACAACATTTTAAGTTATATTTGTTGATAAGTTTATATGAATAACAATTAGGTACTATTATTATTTGTATTTTTAGTTACCATAACCAACGAAATTTGTTTGAATCAATGTTTTATCCTGTAATAAAAATTTGATATAGCATTTAAAATAGTATAGTAGTCGTGGTAGATTAATTTAATATATATATATATAATCTTGGTGCCACAGTGTTTATTACCATATTCCTTCAAAACGGCTTAAAACCGATTTTAATTTTTATATACATCTGGTAGGTCTGTGAGCAGGTTTTTATCTATCTTTAACTTCTAAGTGTTATTATTTAATTAATCGTTGTTTAATTTAATAATTTTAATCCGGTCGATAAAGGGCCTCACACACAAAGATGAAATACGAAAGTTTTTATTTCTGTGGAGTCTTAAATTCAAACACGATACGATTACCGGTTGACGTTTAAAATCGTAATGTGTGGCCTTTTCGATAAGTACCGACGTGTTAATTTACTGTGTGCACATAATTGACACATTGAACGCGCCAAACGGACATCAAACATGTTATTTTACATTGACAAAATGCGGAAGTACAAGACCAATCAGAAACATCTGCGCACCTGCTGATATGTTTATATACGATCGAATCCGTCCACCTACGACACATTATTCCGAATCCTCAAGCCGACAACATCCGCACACTCAAACAACGGAATCGAGACATTGAAGAGCTATCGACATCTTATTTTCTATTAAAGATTGTCCCCAAACCATTGAAACTGCTGTTTCACGTTAACATGTTGTCCGAGTCACTGCAAGAAATAACTTCAAGCAGTTTTTAAATAGAAAACCATGGAGTTTTCTTCTTGTAACCACATTGTCAATACATCCGACAACAGTGATATCTATTAGCCTGCCAGCGAATTACCAACCCATGAAACGTCAGGAAGGTCAATGGACCTTGGTCCGTAACATTAACGTATACAATTTGTCAAACGGTCCAACGATATATTAGTTGATTGGGGGTAGAAACTTCCCCGACGTGACGATTGCGGACACATGATATGAATAGCTATTCAACCAAATATTTGTTACTTTATAATCTATTTACAAAATTAATTTTGAAAATCATCGTTGACAAGAAGTACGAAAAGTGTATTTCGAGAACATTCTATTGGTATCAAAAAAAACTTGAAAATTTTCAACAATTACCTTTACATGTTAATTATTTTATCTTTCAAATATGACAATGAAATAAAAAAGATGTTGTCTCCATATCATAATATTTTATTTTGTTTTTGATAAATAATTGTATGTAATGTCTAATATCTGCAATGTTGATTAATGTGTGTTATTAAATTAAATACAGGTGACAACAACTAAATGGCGAATTGTTAAATTTTTATTTGATATGATAATTAATTTTATTTAAAAGTTAATTTGCAAATATCAACTATTAATTACTTAAATATATAATATTATATTTTAGAATTGCTTATATATAAATACAGCTTATTTTATTATTATTGTTATAATTTTATTTGCTATTAAATTATTGTTATATAAATTTTAAAAAGAAATAAATAGCATATATAACTATTACTTTCTATTTTTTTATTTTTCTATTTTCAATAATGTATTAATGCTATCAGTTTTTATGAAAATTAAAAATAAAGGAAAATTGATTGTTACTATTGTATTCTATTCCATTATATGTAAAAATAAAAGAAATTTAATTGACTACATTATAGGTAGTGAGTTTAGGAAACAAGATTAATCATTTAACCAAACTTAACTAACTGAATGTGTATACATATATAAAAACGGATCACGAATAATGAAATAATAGTAGTTATTAATTGTTATATCATCACTAACCAATGGCAGATTTTCTTTTTAGTAACTGTATCGATATCAATATCACCATAGCATATTACTACTATACCAGTATATTTTATAACAAAATCATAAAAATAATGAATAACAGTTATCAATTATCATTTATTCCTTTTCCATATTGAAACCTGTATTTACCTGTTGCACCGTTTTAACACACGCTCGTAGGCGATATTGTTCGCCGACTTATCGTTGTAATTTTTTTTTAATCACGACCCGTCGAACAAATATTTTTTTTTTTTTTTATCTATCCGTTCCACACGATGCTGTACAAACGATTTCCGCGCCCTATTAACGATAATTATTTTCGCCTTTAACTTGCTGCGTTTGGTTTTCTTCGGGGGTATTTGTCTCTACTCTGCGTAACAACGAGCCACTTTTCGGTACGAACTACATTGAATTCATTTTCAACTGCGCAGTACTCCGTTAAATGACCGACGATCCTAGTTTTATCTTGCTAAAACTATGTCGAGGTCAGCCTGTAGCGATTGTGTATTTTTCAATCCTCGTATTTCCTAAACAAACCGAATTCGTTAAATATTTTAAATTCCTGTTGGATCCATTGAACGTGCACTATATAACACCGGGTTTCGGTACTGCTACATTATTTTATTCACTGTTAGTATCGTATATATATACTAATCTATGGTACCGTAGGATGATATGCCCGAGCATCCCCCCGAGTCGTTATAAATAGACCCTACAATTTATGTCGAGGAGTTAGAGGCCTCAAATCAAATGTTCTAAAATATTTAATAAAAAATAAATGGTTACACAATAAAAAACAATAAAATATTATTTTTAAATTTTCATACACAAAAATACTATCATAAAATAACAGCTATGGTTTAGTACTAAAATATAAATTTTAAATAATTAAGCCAACAGTGAAAAACAATATTAGATTCAAGAAAAACATATTCATTGGGACTATTATATCACGATATTAAATAAAAAATCAAACTCGTATTAATTTAATTATTTATACATAATAATTCATTTAACACGTTTTGTTGAAATATGGCTCAAAACTATTGTAGGCACCACTCGAAATACAAGTGTGCGCACGTCTATAATCAGTACGCACCGTTTCAAAAATATCGTTCTCGTCGCACATTGGGTATAATAAATTCTCAGTACCGTCGTATTTATACGGTGTGTTCAATAATACGGTGTACATCTGTGTACGGCCGAATTGAATATATCTTTTTACTTCAATACGCTATTACGTAGTAAATATATTATTGTTTTTTTTTTTTTTTTTTTTGATAAACCGAAACGTAATAATATTTCGCTATGCGTATCACTGATCGTGAGTTTCTGTGACGAACGAAACGATAAAAGGATTTTGTACCTCTTTCTCTGACCCCGGACTTTACAATAAACGGTTCGTACTGTAAAATCACCATTAACGAACGCTCGAACGGAAATATTACGTTTTCAAATAAAAGTATACAATTACAGGTACTTAAAGTTATTAAAATGGGTCCAACTCATTTTTCCGTGAATTTGTTTTTTTGATATCTCGAGTGCGCGTATGTCGTCTAATACACCTCCGTTAAAATTGTGACGTAGATCATCATTCAAAATTTTAAAATTAAATTTCGAATTTAATTTATCAGGGATTTCGAGTACATTGAAATGCACCCGACAAGGCTTGGATGTGCAAAACGATCACGGCAATTTTTTTTATTCCTTTTTGTAACTTCTCCTTTATTTATTTATTTGTTTATTGGTGTAACGATATATGATGCCTTGCATACAGTTATATAATCATAATAAATTTAACAATATGAAATATTTGAAATTTTAAATAATTAAGAAAGATAACAATATAATTAAAATAAGATCAATAACATTATCTAAGGGATAGATAATTACAACATATTAAAGAAATTTAGCTTGTTAAATACAAATCTCTTGTATAAAATAAATCCACATTTTTCAGCCCATTACATTCTCGAGCAATACGGTCTAAAATATTATTGCCATATAAATAGCGATAAAATGGAATTGAAAATTTATCATGTTTGATTGCAGATTACGTTGTTTGTTGCGTCATTTGAGAAAAGGAGAAATATCGGCCGATATTTTACACAAAAATTTATTCTTTGCGGCCAAAGTATTAGAAACGGCATTCACTGACGAGGAACCAAAGTAAGAGTGCCCTTTATTTTGTTGACGACTTGCCGATATCAAACTAACGCGTGTAGAATAAAAATTGTATGTAGATGTTTGAGTGTGCATATGTGTGTGTGTGTGTGTGTGTGTGTGTGTGTGTATGTATGTAAAAATTTGCACATTGATAATCAGATCGATGGTAAACTCAGT